GTGTAAAGTGGAGCAGCATTAATTACCTATATTCTACAGACTAAGTGAGATAGGCAGAGAGGAGCTCTGTGGTGCAGGAGGCAGCTAAAGAGAGAAGCTGAATAAGATGGATATAAAATTTCCAGTGAGAGCAGTGGGTGTTATTTAAATCACATGCTGCTGAGGGTCTCCTGACACCACTAATGAGATTAAAGACACAATGTTAAAGAACAGCACTAGGGACCAACTAGCAATATTCTAAGTAATTCTGAGTATAACCAACCAGTCAACATGCTTCCACCACCATCAAGCCCCACTATGAGACCTGCTGTAAACCAGAAAGTCAGACTGCCACAAATGATCATATTAACTTTCTTTTCTCTTTCATTTTTCAAAGGACAGCAAGGTTTCCAGAATAATCTTCTGCACACATGTGCTCTTTTTCTCAATTCAAGTCCAGGATTGCAAAATGAAAGTCGAGATCCTCACAGTTACATAATATCTTGAACTAGTACCTTAAGACAAAGCAAATATACAATAAATGAAGATTCACAATGGCAACAATAACACTCTAGAGGTGTCAATAAGCCATACCTCATGGGTAGCTACATGCCAGCCAACTGGTCAAAAACACTAGCTAAGAAATGTTAAAGGCAATGTGCAGTCTGCATAAAGCAGGCTTTACACTCCTAGTGTGCTTACTGAGTATGCTTCCATGCACCACCACCATTCTTTTCATGCCCTTTCTGGGTTTACAGGCTCATTGCTTACAGAGAATGGTGAAAGAACAGGTCAGGAACCTTCATTTTCATCTGGATTTTTAACTCCTGGAACACAAGGCTCATAGAGAATGGTGAAAGAACAGGTCAGGAACCTTCATTGTCATCTGGATTTTAACTCCTGGAACACAATGCAACAGTCATACACATTTAAATGCACAACAACCAGTATGAGGGTAAAACTCCTAGAGGAGAAATTGAAATTCTATTATTTTGACTCTTTACTGCCTCCACTTTCTACCTCACTAAGACAGAAAACATGAGTATTATTTCTTAGCATTCTACTTTTGGGGTGCACTCACTTTGCACAGAACAAAAGAAAAGTGAACAGGATCTTCATAGCTTGTAAAGAGATAAGTATGCAACACTATTGTACATAACCCACAGCAAGAAACATTTGCAGACTTCAAAGACTAATTGATGTTTTGTTTCCTAACAAAATGGCACAGAGATTCCAGCTTTCTTAGATGTGCTTCTGCTACACATTACCCTGGAGGAGCTCATTCAGTCTTATCCTATCCCAAAAGTCTGAAAACCTGCCTTGCAATGATACTTCTTCAACAGAGTCAATTTAGAGCTTAAAAACTCTCTTACTCTAAATGATTTGCTCATGGGAACAAAGCATAATTCAAGGTAGTTAATATATCACTTCCCTTCAATTCTCTACAGTAGCTATTAGCCAGCAGTACAGACCACACCCCATGTTCCAAGATTCTTATATCCAAAACTAAATCTGAATCAGCAAGTCTATACAACACCTGGAATGACAACAATGGGTGCACAGTATATAAAAATAATTTATTGATATGTAGTTGAGAAAATGTTTTCTGTATATTTAACAGAAATTACATTTTCAGTAAAAAAATATAAATTAAATAAACATTTCCAATTACATACACAGGAAGAAAGACAATGAAAGAGCCTAGTCTTCCATTTATGAATAAAGGCATCTGGAACAATGCTTGTACAAACCTACTAATTTCTTCTCTGTTAATTCCACATGGTTTTCCCATAAGCATACCTCGTTTTCTGTAACCAAGTTTGATTTGCATAAATTCTTCCCAGAAAGTGAACAATTACCTAACCTAATGATTTCTCCATTAATGGACATTTTGGCAACAACAGATAATGGAGAAATCCTCAATTAGTTTCAGGAGAATTCTGAGTAGCATAAACAAGCATTACATCAGTAAGAGCCTCAGTAAGCTTCCTTTAAATGCAGGGCATTCATTGTGCTGAGGGAATATGACTGATCTAGGTATTCTGAGAAGATAAAAGTGTAGCCAAAATGGTTTTTTGCTTTTGCAAGAGATGGCCATATCTGAAGTCCTGATACTCAAAGATCAACTAAATGGATGAACTATCTGCTCTTTAGATACTAATAGGCCCTCTTCAGCTGCAGCTCTAGGCTCTGTCTCTCTACCTTCTGCATGGACTGAGCTGCACTCCAAGATCCCAAAACACAGCCCAAATGAACAAGAGGACACAACTCCTTTTGCAGCCCCTTCTCAGCCCCACTCCACCTACAGCTGTAGGTTCTGTCTCCCTCCCAACCTAATGCTACCCCAGCCCAATGCACCACAACCAAATCATACTCCCTCAAAAGTCCAAACCACCATCTTCTCTTGAATTTGAATACTTTTATCAGGGAATGTTCTTCAAAAATCAGTTTGTCATCAGTGACGTAGTCTTTAATACTAATGCAGCTTTTTTCATTAAGGCACAAGAACCCAAAGTGGAAGCTAGCCCCTCAGTCACTGAAACACAGACTACACAGCAGCAGCTCCACTGCAGTGCTGCCTTTGAATATCACTCTTGACTGAGAAGTTGCTTACTAATGTGATTTCCCTCTAAGCACAGTGTGAAGTTAAGAGTGAGGAAAAGGTAAAAGGAAAAGAATGGGTGCTTTTCAAGGCAAAGGATCATAGTTTAGCATCTGAAATGCATTAGAGATTGACCACAAAAGGATTATTTAAGTTTTGTCTTTTTAGCAGTTGAATTAGCAAGAAAACATTCAGGAATCATGCTTACAGAAAGTGACATACTGGAGTTTGCCCATCCCTAAAAAATAATCAAAAAAGACAGGCACTTGGGTGTTATGAATCCTAGCCTGCTTTAGGATTTGTGCAACCTCCATTTTTTGAGCAGTAAAATGTAAATAATAATCCTACCTTTTCTGGCAGTAGGACTATGAAGCTTAATTCATTTAAATTCTGTGAAAGTCTTCAGAGCTTCTTGTATTGAAACTATTATTTAATTACATATTTTTATTATTCTGAAGGAGAAGCTGTAACAAAACAAAATCTTATTTCTTTTATTGCTTATTGCATTTTTGCATCCAAGCCCCCAATAAGAGCACTAGTCCATCTGTCCCTGTTCTGATAAGGATTTACAGTACTACAACTCTGTTACAAGAGAAAAGCATCAGGATTTTAACAGCACTTTTAAATTACTCATATTAACATTCTTTTCCCGAGTTCCATGTACATTTTAAACTAGATTTTTTTATCCATTAAAATACATTCAAGTCTCATTGGCTGTCTTATTTAGTGAATTAGAATGGCTTTCAGCTCTGTTTTTATGGACATAGAAGCACAAATGAATGAAACACATTGCTTTGATTTGTCCATCTACAAACACGCCCAAAATTGGTGTTGCTAGTTCTGAGCCAATACTGCACTGTTCTTTACTTCAATGTCATCTACTTCTGAATAAAACTGCATGGAAAAGAAAAAGAAAACACAAAAGTGATGCTGCAGACTTAAGTAATGGCTAGAGCCTAAACCAGAAGTCCTCTTTTAGCTTTTCAGAGTTTAAGAACTCCAGGATGAAACAGCTGCCACTCAGAGCTTTCATGTACTACTGACAAACTCAGTAATGCTTCCCTTGATTACAAACGCTGGGAAAAAGAGTCACGTAGTCCTGAATTAGCACAACTATTAACAGTGTTTTTCCCTGAGTTGCTATCACAGTGCAAATCATGGGGGTCAAATGCAATACACTGAGTACGAATCTGACCCAAAAACTAAAAGAAACACAACAGGCAAATTCCTGCTCCACTGTGATCCCCCATCTGGTTGGAGAAAAACTTAAAAGGTTCCAACTGGTCCTAAAAGGCTAGAAATTATAGAAAAAAAGCACTCTTCTCTAGTGCTAGAAGACAGCACTAGAGAAAAGGTTTGTAAGATTACTCTCCCTGATCTACAGGTTCTGTCATACTCAGTTCTGAGCAGGAGTGGGCTACAGGCTGCATGGAAGGTCATAACCAGGTATGCAACACAGAGAACCATGAGGAATAATTAAAGTCATTCACATGGTCCACAAGTGTCTAAGACAAAACAAAGGATTTTTTCCTCCTGACTCTCAACAGCTGAGGATCTCAAATTCACCACAGTTGAAACCCACAGTATCCAGAGTCCTGCACAACTTTTTTTTTCTATAAAATTGCATAGAGTCTTTAAAACAGCTTTGTGCAACCTGCAGCGGCTCTGAGAAACCAGAGAGACCAGAAAGTCTCTCTGCATTGCAATAGCAAACCTGCATATTACCAAACCAAGGAAAGCAAGCCAATATAACTTTCTGGTAAACTGACACACTCCTTTCAGATAATTTCATATGCAATTTTGAACTTGGAGGGATAAGTAGCACTAGTAAACATGCTTTTTCCCTCAGAAAGAAGGTTTCAGGTTCATTTTAAAAAAGGCTTCTTATATACAAGATAATCTGACACAATGGGTAGAGACTAGCTCCTGTTTCCTTCACAAGGCTTAAAGAACAGGATGTAGCACATTGTCAAAGGTACCTGCTTGTCTCAGTCAATGCACAGCCAAGCCCTGGAAACCATCTAACATTATATGCTCACTGCCAAGTATTGTTTGAAAACCGAACCCTTTAAAATATCAGTTTTCCTAGTCTAAATTGGATACAGTACCCTCATAATAACCTCCTTCTGACATGCTGCACTTCCTTCTCAGGATTCAGAATTGTCACTTAGAATCAACCAAATGAACAAAATGTTTCTATTATTTATGTTGATTTTTTCACGGATGGCAAAGGATTCATCATCATGTCGGTCTCTTTATCATCACCTGCTCTGCCTACTGCCTGCGAGACCCAGCTGTAGCTCAGGGCCAAGCAGTGAAAGGCAAATCCCCTACACCAAGTTTGCTTGTCCTATCAATTCTTTAGAAAGCAGCATGTGGGCATAAGGAAATGAAAAGCAAACAAAATAAATTAAACTACCTTGCCATGTAGTTCGTGAACATCGTATCTTATCTGAGCAAATTCACGGAGTCCAAAAGATCCTCCAATGAGATAGAGCTGAAAACAGAATGAAAACAGATGTGTTAGGACTGCTACAGAAAAGAACGCTTTGCACACCTACAAAAAAATACTGTGCATACTGACCCAATTCATGTACCAAGAGACTATACTATTTTTCCAACAGAAACACCAGGAGCTGAAGAAAATAATACTTCAGAAAATAAGTATGGGTGCCTTCTTCCACTCTCTGAGCCTGGATTTCACACATTTCCTCCTTCTTACAAAGACAGCTGCTACATGACTCAGACTTTCCAGGGACTTCCTCTCCTCTTACCCCTTCTTTTCCCTCCCCATGTGGTTTCCTGACATAATGGCAGCAAAGGAACCTTTACCTCACTGCCACAGGTTTTATCCTCACAAATTTTCAAACTCTATGGGGAAGTAGCAGTGCCACGCTGACTTACTCTGATGTCTGTGAGTAACAGATCTAATTAAGCTTCGGAACAGACCATGACTGTAGCTATAGTTCAATAACATATTATCACCCAGGCTAAGAAATCACATCCAGCACACCTATCCTTTTATTACTCCTTAGTTATCCTGCAATTTCCTCCATGCCTGTGAAGCTTAAGAATAATAAAGGGAGAAAGGGAAGGACTTCATATCCACATAAGAAATCATTATATTATTCTTTCTTATGAGAGAGTGCTATCACAAAACTGTGTATGTATTTTTACCATTAGAAATGGATAGACCATCCAAAGATGAAGTATTGTTTAAAAAGAGACATGAAAATTAGCTTAGAAATCTAGCTACTTTGTGTAAGAGTCAGGTCCCTTGCTACTGCTCTGGCCTCACAGTGTCTGCTGTTCTCTGTTAATGCAGATACATAGGAGGCCAAAAGGCTTCACATCTAGAGACACACATCTAAGGAAGGTGGAAGGATGAGGAAGTTCTAAGGACCTGAGTCAAAGTAGGAAAAAAATCCAAACAAAACCCACCACCACTACCCTCTTTCATCATGCAACTTTGCTGTTACAGTCCTTCATTACAGGCTGTAGCTGAACTGCTGTTTTCCACGCACTGCTGGCTGAATTCTTACTACATATTAGGTTTGCAGCAATGGCCAGTGTCCAAGAATTGTTATAATTATGCTGTGCAGGTTAGTCACAGTGCATGTTCATTCTGGAAAGTGGAAGTTCATGTCACTGTGGCCACAAAGAATTAGAAATTGGAAACAAAAACCTGCCTTCTACACTTAGTCATTCTCAAAGTTGCAGGACTGCATTACTTCCCACCAAGCAGGTAAAATTACTCAGAACCACACAAACACTCTCTCCACGCACACACTTCAACACTGCTAAGGTACAGACTGGTACCCCAGAACTGATGGACTCTAACCAAAGAAGAAGAAACTTTTCATCAACAGCCAGGAGTTAAAGGCTCCAGAGCCTCCTTCTGGCCCTTTCAAAAAGCCTTAAAATCCAACTGATAATAAAAACAGACACAAATTTTGCAATTTGAACACCCAGTTGCTAGGCCACTAGACCTCTAGCATCAGAAAGCCAATCAGATAATCATCATATGGTATCAAGTCAAACAGACACAAATTTTGCAATTTGAACACCCAGTTGCTAGGCCACTAGACCACTAGCGTCAGAAAGCCAATCAGAAAAATCATCATATGGTATCAACAGAACCATATGATGGTTTCAGCAACTAGAAATATGAATGACCAAAAACTGGATGGCATCATACTTGTGCCATAAATGTTTCAAGGGATTAATGATCTTGCAGATATTGAATCATCAAAATACTCAGTAAGACAAAAAAAAAAAAAAAAAAAAAAAAAAAAAAAAAAAAAGAAAGGTCTTCCTTGTGTCAGTATTTTGGTAAGAAAAAAATAACAGAAAGCAGGAAATAAAGTGCTCCAAATGGTTAAAAACAACTTGGACATTATTCAAGATTTATTCAATCAAATCAGAAGATTTGTCAGATGAAGATATGGTAGCACAAATGCTAAAAATCTCAAGGATCAGACTGTAATTGAATTTTAACATGGTTGACACCTCAGCATAAATTTTCATTAGCTGATCTTCTTTAATTCCTAACAAGTATTACGTTAATTTACAGCCACTGTGTTAATAAACTTTAAGTCCTAATAAACACAAATCTGAAATGCTATAGACAAGTTTATGGCTATTACAAACCAGAGCTCATTGCCTTTTTTTCGTATTAGCATGCGTCAAAGAATGTCTATGGCAAGGCAAAAGCAACTGCACTAGAAATGGTTCAGTTATTAAACCAGGCAGAAAGCAGCAATCACTTATGACATCAATTAAAAATTAATCTGCTCAAAAATAAACATGTATGGAATATATCCTGTTATGAGATGCAACACGAACAATTGGAAGACTTTGGCTTCCAAAGCCATGCTGTAAACTAAAGAGGAAGTATTACATTCTTTAGTGTGAAAACTCTGTAATGTACACTGCAACTATGAAAAATCAAGTTTTTGCAAGGTTGTTGTATGAAGTAAGTCACATGCTACTCACTTGGTCTCATCACATCCTGTCGCTTGTTTGACAGCGACCATCCGCGACACAGTGCATTTTATATTTGCAGCTACACACAGCAGAGAAGTTGATGCACGCACCTCTCATGCTCTGTTTTGGAATTCAGGTTTTGGCCTGACGCTGCAGTTTTACTCACAACGCCTTGGTACTACTAAGAGGAAAAAACCCACTTGGTTTGTGATGTACCTTTGCTCTTCATACAGCAGAAGCAGCGTACCAAGTTGGCACATTTAGCTTATCAGGCATTACCAGTATGGTTGCCTTTACATTTCCAGTACTGCAACGGCTGATTTATCTTACCATGAAACATCAGTTAAGCACCATCAGAGACAAAGCACATTGATGCTGTAAGAAAGTACAAATGCTGCTGAAATATTACACAGTGTAAGGCTGGAAGGTTAGGACTAAGATTAAATAGTTTTGCGAAGTACAGGATACACACAAAGAATCTAAATAATATGTTTACAAGCCCACTTGACCAATGTTCTAAAGAACCAAAAATGATGTCTGACTTTACTGCAAAACCAGACCAGAATCAGTCATATTCAGCACTTATTTAATCAACCAACAGCATATCAATATAGTCAGCTGACAGCCCTGAGCATGAATTGCATTCATCTACACAAGCCAGAGCAGCTATGGACAGCTATTCAGTCAATTAGCTTTTTGAAAACTGTGCTCAAAAGCCAATAAAAGAAGGTATAAATGAATTTATGCAACTGTAATACTATTAAAGGTAGCAAAGGACTCAGTGACTGACAATGCATGGAGTAAAACTATGAGTCTTGGCTTTAAATGTTTCCTTTCTCTTCTGGTGCACTGTGAGGGAAGATGCCCTCACTACCTTAATTTCAGCTGGCTGTATTTATACACAACAGTGAACCAGTGAGAATCACCAGTCAAAATAATTAGAAGCAGGATAAGACTCAAAATTTCCAGCACCATTATTGGCTTGTTGGCTTTGCATATTCTGTATGTCTCACATACTTTTCTAATTGCCCAAACTGTGAAACAAAGATAATCCCTACATTCTTTGCAAAACACTCTTCAGTTAAAAAAGCACCAACAATGTACAAATTTGCCCAATGTAACCCGAAAGCAACAGCGAAATCCAGTATGTTCCATCCACTAGTCCGGGCATAAAAAGACAGTAGAAGCTATTCAGGATACAATATAAATATAAGTTAGGTTGGCACCATTCTAATGAAGTCAGGATCAAGTTCACTCTCCTGTTAACTGAAGAGAGAAAAGTAATGTCACATATAATAAAAATTAATTTTTTTCATTACAATTTTAAAATCATACAGATACTTAATGTACATTATAAAATATGAAGGCATTGGCATCTGAAGGATACTCAAGCTGCAAAGTTCATAAATACCTGCATTCTTTTATTGTGAGGGAACTATTCATTTTACTTGCTTCACAATGCAGAGAAAAAAACATTACATAGTGAACATCATCTGTCTCGTTACTTGAATGCTCTCAGCAGATTGATGAAATGATAGTAACATCTCATTTTTTCCTTTACACCTCAAGTTTAACTTAGGGAGGCAAAGGTCATTAACCATTACTAGTGAGCCAGCATTTAACACCAAAGCAAACAGCTTAATAGCACTGCTAGCACAACCCCCATGAAAGATCCCACATTGGATTATTCCTTTATGTTTCAATGAGTACACAAAAAACTCCCTACAATGTTGTAATGCAATTATGCATGCATGGAAGACTTGCATGTTCCAAAACAAAATGAAAGATAGGATGTGACATAAGAGCACCATCTGTCACATACACTCAGCAACCTCAATAAACATTTTATGCAAAAAAATGACATAAAATTCTCTTTAATAACATTCTTTTAAAAATTCTATTTGTTCATGTCTCCATTGGAAAGTATGTTATGCAATCAGTTATAGATGGTATCAGATCCCCTGAACCACATCTTAGGATGGGAAATACTTGTACTTGTCACCAACTACAGTGGGTGGTCATTGAGGGCTCATAACAGCAGAACTTAGGACTTACAACAGATCCCTTTTTTAGTTTCCTGCATAATCTAAAGTAACCAACTTCACTTCACCGGGTTAACAAAATAGTAAGAAACTGCTTCTCTGGCAGTACCAGCAAAATGCCATGTTATAGGCATCCCTGTTGTTAGAGAAAGCCATTCCTACTACAGCACCAGTCATGAAAGACAATTACAAAGTCATAAATCCCTAAATTAACCAAATCACCACGTTTAGTGCTGCCAACACAAACCATGCGGTGCTAGAAAATGTTATGTATACAAAGAAGGAACATGGTAATTTTCTAACCTCTCCTTTAAGACTGCTGCTACAGAACTCTCCAGCTATTCATCAGGAGCTTCAAAACTAGACCAGTAGTGAATTAATTTAGTTTAGTTTGCAGTGATCACAGCAAAGAGAGTTTTGGGGGTTCCTTTTAAAAGAACTGTCAGATGTGCAGCGCGAGACTGGTGAA